GGACAAATATTTCATTGCCATGCATGATATGAGTAGAAAACACATTGTTGGAAAATGAAGTACAATATTACAATGGGCAGACTGGAGTACCGTGTATACAATATGTACAGGGTACTCCAATATACCCATTGTAATATTGTAAATTCTGCCCATAGCGTTTCGAGAAGTTTTCAACACACCAAGGCTACTTATGATTTTCATTATTTGCATGTAGGGGGGAGGGGGGTAATTTGAAATTGATGAACATTTCACTGACTTCTAAGATTGTACAGATTTATTATTATGATCATCAGTATCTATATGTCCTAACTTGAATCACTAACTTTAACTATGATACTTGTGTGTGTTTCAGTACTAGTGGGAGGAACGGAGGCACGTCTCTGTTGTCCAAAGAGGAAGGACATTTTTCGACTGTACAAACGCAGAAATACATAAATAAAACAAACATCACGTACGCCAACATCTCTGTCATCAACAGAAGAAAATGACACATTTCTTCTATCGAACAATTGCAAAAAAAAGGAGAAAAGAAATAAATCCTGTGTGTTAGCATCGTCTACACGTACACGCTTGCCTGCGATCTTTCCTGCCACTTGGTTCTATCCAATGAAATACAATTACAGGCATATCATGCAGGCCATGACGTAATCACCGCATTCCTGTCATTCTTGTCTCTCTGCTAGCTAAAGTGTGTTAGATGGAGTGGTTAAAAACTCCCGTGGCACATCCACACGACGTGCGGTTAAAAAATCCCCTCACGAGGCACGGCCCGTGACTGAGGTAATTACCGGGGTAATGATCTGACGACTTTACGTGTTAAGAGTCCTTACATGGGCGGTGAGCCCACTATTGACGGCTGAAAATAAGAGAGGCTGTTACACGACAGGTTATATGCAGTGATTGACAGTAGTTATGAAAGTGGCTGCAGCATCTGGGAAAATAAAGCGGAAAAATGCCATGCGGCAAGCAGGAACTTCGATAAGGAATAAATATGATTGTTCTGAATATCCAATAGAAATCACAAATTCCAGACACTGGTTTGAAAAATACAGGTTGACACACATTGGAAAAAAAAACTATCGTTTAATCAGCACAGACTGGTTTCAAAACTGTCGGTTATGTAACAGATTATTATATTTTTTTCATGCTTATTTTAAAACTTAAATGTAAACACATTGGTTTGAAAACTAAAGGGCAGTTAGCACAGACTGGTTTTAATACGGAACATACGCAAACTGTTAACTAACTAACGGATAACACATACTGGTTTCAAAACTAACGGTTGAGACACACTGGTTTCATCACTTGAACTAAAGGTTAAGACACACTGGTTTCACTTGAACCAAATGTTAACACTCACTGGTTTCAATTGAACTAATTATATAATGGTTTCACTTGAACCAAATGTTAACACTCACTGCCCTGGTTTCAATTGAACTAATTATATATATACAATACAAGAAGAACTTTATTGCGTAACAGTTGTAGCAGGTACAACGTATAGCAAAACACATACATACATACATACATACATATAGGTGATGCTAACAGTATCTAGTACATGTAGTAGTAATAAGATAAAGATAAAGGTTAACGCATACTGGTTTTCACTTAAACTAAAGGTTAACACACACTGGTTTTCAATTGAACTAAAGGTTAACACATACTGGTTTTCACTTAAACGAAAGGTTAACACACACTGGTTTTCACTTGAACTAAAGGTTAACACACACTGGTTTTAACTTGAACTAAAGGTTAACACACACTGGTTTTAACTTGAACTAAAGGTTAACGCATACTGGTTTTCACTTGAACTAAAGGTTAACACATACTGGTTTTCACTTGAACTAAAGGTTAACACATACTGGTTTTCACTTGAACTAAAGGTTAACACACACTGGTTTTAACTTGAACTAAAGGTTAACACATACTGGTTTTCACTTGAACTAAAAGTTAAGACATACTGGTTTTCACTTGAACTAAAGGTTAGCATATACTCAATACTAAAAGAGAACACTCTAACTTCAAAACCAAAGGTGAACACACTAGTTTCAAAACTAAATGTAAGCACACACTCGGGCTTCAAAAGTCAAAATAGCACACACTGGATTTGACAAATAAGTGATAACACGAGCTGGTTTCAAAACTAAATGTTAGCACACACTGGTTCCAAATAACACAGACTGGTTATGTGGTCAGCACACATTTGTTGCAAAACTAAAGGTGAACACTCTTGTTTCATAACTAAAGGTCAGCACACACTGTTTCCGAAGCTAACGGTTAGCACACACTGTTTTCGACAAATAAATAACAGACTGGTTTCACAACTATCGACTGACACAGACACAGACAAACACGGTGTATACGTAGTTCACACTCGAACTGAAACTGAAACTGTTTTATTCACATTGATTGGCAGCCAATATGCATTGCTTGGCTGAATTGCACAAGTGATTACATGTTAAAATAGCTTGAAAAGAGATACACATTAAAAAGCACAACATTGACGATTAAAATTAAATAGATTTAAAATTCTGTAGGTCAGGTCCATTAAAACAGAGGCGGACTATTTACAAATCTTGGTTACTGAGGCTTATTGCCTGAAACAGAAAAGGTTTCCCCAGTCTTTCAGTTCTGAACTTCGGTACGGAGATGTGCTTTCCATTTCTCAGGGACCGCCCTGTGCTCTGGTGTCTGTCGCAGGGCATCAAAGAATGCAAAGGGTGGCTGACATCCCGCATTTGCTTGAGCAGAGTTTTTGCTGCAGTTTCCCGTCTGTCCTGGAGGGTGGAGAAGGGGGTTGTTTGGGTACTCTTGCCGTAGATGATCCTCGCCGCCCTTCCTGTACAACCTCAAGAGTGTTGTTCTGTTTTGTGTTACAGCCCACGTACACGACATTTGCATACTCTAACACTCGGCTGACACAAGTGATTTTCTCTGGTCACCAGTCCATGGAAACCTCACTGCGACGGTCAAGTCCAGTTCACAGGCATTTGAGGTGTTGGGATCGACAAGCAATTAAATAAATAATTAGAAAAGCAATTTGCAAATTTGCAAAGCAAATGCATAATGTTTACCTTTCCACATGGTCTGCTCTGTTAATTCTTACTCCACACATTCACATATATGGCAACAGGAGTCTAAATCCCCCTACTATAAAATTGCAACATTATGTAATCCAACATATGGTGAGAGAAGTCTGGTTCACGTCATTGACCAGGTCAGAGGTCACTGTTTGGAGACTCGTGTTAAGAAGAAGAAGCTGAGCAAAAACAGTATGTTTTCCTTCGGTAAACATAATGAAGGGTATATATAGACCCTTGTAAAAACATCAATCACCACTTGTAAGCACTATACATTAAGGTTGACGACAATTGGGTCAACTTTGTATTGCCTACACGGGGTTTATTAGTATGTGAAAAATATACCATTTCCGACATCTTGGACACCACAATTGGTGTACTAGTATATATAATTGGCCTTATGTCAGGGAAATGTTCAATCCCGTTTGAACCGGTTGTGGCTCTTTCAGTTCGATTAAATTTCAAGAGTAAGCTATGACCTTGGCAGTCATTAGAACTCAAATTGGCTCCCCACGTAGACACGTAAGGGCTTCGTGTGTCAAACTACATTCCGCTGCGGTCACGGTGGTACCGCACGCAGTCGCATTAGTTTTAACAAGTACATGCACACGACGCTGTTATTATGTTACCGTACACATAACCGTGGTTTTCTTGCATTGGCCCACCCGTCCTTCTGCAGAGGGGGAAGTAGACAGGGGGAAGAGATAGAGAGACTGCGAGAAAGGCAAAGACAGCAGACTTTTAAACGGACGTAATGTTACAAAAAAATGGATACAAAAACGTGAACTTCTGATCCTAGGTCTGGTCGCTACTTTACCTAGGCTAGTGCAAGACCAGCCCAATAGCCAACGTGTTATGGGAAGTCTAATCTCATAAGTTTGTTTTTTTTCTAAACGAGAAAACCATCGCAATCGAAAGCCTAGATCTGTAAACTTAAAAAATAGTCCCACCACCATTGTCCAGATCCTTTATTACATGTGTGACTGTGTATAACGTTTTGACTGCAGGCATTCAATATTATGTGCAGTAAACATGCCCTTGGTTCCATACTACGTTCCAATGTTTCTTCCGCCAGTGAACTCAAGCTTTGAAGCTTAAGCAACTGGTAAGTGATCTTAAAAAGTCTATTCATAACATAACTACAGGTTTGTCAGTAAAACACAGCTAAAACTTTTCTGTTATTTGTGACGTTATTGGACCCCGAAAACATTACATTTTCGCATCATCAATTTCTTCTTGAATACTAGTATTCCCGGCTCGGAGGAAGTGAAACTGACATGCATGCCTAGTGCCCCCTAGCGGACTGCTATGTGCACACCAGTGATCACCCGTGATTCTTCTGGCATGTTGAGCCTGTTCGGTAACGTTAAATATGCCTCATCGGTCGAAAGGTCTGTTTGTGATAACGTTACATTTCAAGGTCCAGTAACTGACGACGAAACTTTCGGTCGCGAATCCAAGTCTAGATGACTACAGGGGGGCATAGGAATACTTTCCCAGTCTCGTCACGGGATTCTTTACTGGGAATAATTTTTGCAATCACATGATCTCAGAGCATGACCTCACGCAGTTACTAGTTTTACTAGTTCTGTAACGTTAGAAGATTGTAGAAGTTAAGTAGAACGATTTCAAACCACCTTGGGCGTGACATTGGGAGACTGTAACGTTACAACTTTGAATGTCTTTCTTCTGTTCATCCCCGCATTGTGGTAAGAATGTATAAAATGGTCTTACCAAGGACGCTATATTGGTCTATTTTGTAATACGTTAGTCATCTGCAATATTTGCTTCTGACGTGTCCAGAACTGCAATACTTTCGATTGCGCAATATCTATGACGTCTTTCTGACCGTTCCAGACCATTCTACCAATCATTGGACAGTTTTATATCATGTGATCAAAATTGACCAATGAACGTTCAGTGGTGCCAGAAATAGTGTCGTCATACTGTATAAGTAGTCGAGCCCGTCTGTTCGGCGTCATTTCCAGACAAGAGAGAGATTCGAGTGAGATTGAACCGTCTTTATCACAAAAGAAAGGTAAGTTTTTCGCCGTTGTCTGCTCAGAACAGACGAAATACTTCCCAGTCTTGTGAAAGGTATTTGCAGCCATCGATGTAGGGCCAGTTTTCTTGAGCTGTGCTCCTTTTTCTCGGAAGCTCTTGAAAAAATGGTTTGGCGCCATTTTGTTGTTTGTCTCATTCACGTCCTGTCTGATTTCGTTCGTCAAATCGTTTACTTGTAACCGTTGCCTGTTCCAGACAAATGTGTTCGTTGAGGAAAATATCTGTAGCTAGGCCATGATTATGTAGCACTTCCTCTTTTGAACTGGTGGTGAATAATTTTCAGAGGAACTATGGTTCCTCTGTTGTTCTGTTGTCACAAATATGTAATTTGTATGACCCTGAAACACCAAAGTTCAACTAGGCTAGATTTTGCTAAAACGTTCTTCTTTTCTCAGTGTCTGGGCTCACAGACCAATGCTACTTTAATCGTTACGCTGAATACATAAACATTGCTTTTGAAGAGTTATTTCCGTGGCTGTTCTGGAACGTTCGTCGATTTCTTTGTCGCAGTTTTAGGCCCCCAGGGCTTTCTTCCTTATCTATCATGTGATGGTGACGTCACAGCGAGTTGTTTTTCTACATGTCCAGACCCGCACACTCAACCCTGCCCAACCCAAACTGTTTCCCGTCTGTTTCTGGGAGTGAATATGTCTTGGTCTGACAAAATCCCTGCAAATCTATGAAGAAAGTGGAATGCTAAACATCATATAACATTTTGAATGACTTGAGTGTTTTAACATCATACAGGTAAATTGAGTCCTGCATCAAGACACCTTGCATATAGATTATGTAACGGCTTGGTCTCATTATGTTCCTGTTATTATTTTCAGAATCATGCAGATCTTTGTGAAAACCCTGACTGGCAAGACCATCACCCTTGAGGTCGAGCCATCCGACACCATCGAGAATGTCAAGGCCAAGATCCAAGACAAGGAGGGCATCCCCCCAGACCAGCAGCGTCTTATCTTCGCTGGCAAGCAGCTGGAAGATGGCCGCACCCTGTCTGACTACAACATCCAGAAGGAGTCCACCCTCCACCTTGTGCTGCGTCTGCGTGGTGGCATGCAGATCTTCGTCAAAACCCTCACAGGCAAGACCATCACCCTTGAAGTCGAGCCATCCGACACTATCGAGAACGTCAAGGCCAAGATCCAAGACAAGGAGGGCATCCCCCCAGACCAGCAGCGTCTCATCTTTGCCGGCAAGCAGCTGGAAGATGGCCGCACCTTGTCCGACTACAACATCCAGAAGGAGAGCACTCTCCACTTGTGCTCCGTCTGCGTGGAGGCATGCAGATATTTGTGAAGACCCTCACAGGCAAGACCATCACCCTAGAAGTGGAGCCGTCAGATACCATTGAAAATGTGAAGGCCAAGATCCAAGACAAGGAGGGCATCCCACCAGACCAGCAGCGTCTCATCTTTGCTGGCAAGCAGCTGGAAGATGGCCGCACCCTGTCTGACTACAACATCCAGAAGGAGAGCACTCTCCACTTGGTTCTCCGTCTGCGTGGAGGCATGCAGATCTTTGTGAAGACCCTCACAGGCAAGACCATCACCCTTGAAGTCGAGCCATCCGACACCATCGAGAATGTCAAGGCCAAGATCCAAGACAAGGAGGGCATCCCCCCAGACCAGCAGCGTCTTATCTTCGCTGGCAAGCAGCTGGAAGATGGCCGCACCCTGTCTGACTACAACATCCAGAAGGAGTCCACCCTCCACCTTGTGCTGCGTCTGCGTGGTGGCATGCAGATTTTCGTCAAAACCCTCACAGGCAAGACCATCACTCTTGAAGTTGAGCCGTCAGACACCATCGAGAACGTGAAGGCCAAGATCCAAGACAAGGAGGGCATCCCCCCAGACCAGCAGCGTCTTATCTTCGCTGGCAAGCAGCTGGAAGATGGCCGCACCCTGTCTGACTACAACATCCAGAAAGAGTCCACCCTCCACCTTGTGCTGCGTCTGCGTGGAGGCATGCAGATCTTTGTGAAGACCCTGACAGGGAAGACCATCACCCTCGAGGTGGAGCCGTCAGACACCATTGAGAACGTCAAGGCCAAGATCCAAGACAAGGAGGGCATCCCCCCAGACCAGCAGCGTCTCATCTTTGCTGGCAAGCAGCTGGAAGATGGTCGCACCCTGTCTGACTACAACATCCAGAAAGAGTCCACCCTTCATCTTGTCCTGCGTCTGCGTGGTGGCATGCAGATCTTCGTCAAAACCCTGACAGGCAAGACCATCACCCTCGAGGTTGAGCCATCAGACACCATCGAGAACGTCAAGGCCAAGATCCAAGACAAGGAGGGCATCCCACCAGACCAACAGCGTCTCATCTTCGCCGGCAAACAGTTGGAAGATGGCCGCACCCTGTCCGACTACAACATCCAGAAGGAGAGCACCCTCCACTTGGTGCTGCGTCTGCGTGGTGGAAACTAAGCACGTCCAAGCACTGGAGCTGTTCCTCAAATGGCAATTCATAGATGAGAAAATTGTCATGAACTGAATGGACTTATTCTTGACCACTGAACTCTCTATCTGCTTTAGACATTCATTCCATGTAGTGTCATGAGAAGTTTAAACTGTACTGCTGTCCATTTCTGTTACCATTCAGTGACAGAAGTTGTTAAATGTAATCTCATTATTCTTCGTCATTAAAATTGCTATGCTGAACTGACTTTGTTTTGTTCTTATTATTGAGTGTCTGAAATACTAGTATGTAATAACACTTAATGAAAAAAGTAAATATCAGCAATATTAAATTTGAAAATATAATGTATTTGATAAGCCATACATAAGGTACTACATTGCAGTAACCTGGATATACATTTGTGTTAGGTCAGCAAAATTTTGCCCAATCTGTCATCTTTCACGGACAAATCATATATAAAAAGGAAAAAAATGCCTAGTGTATCAAGAACAAAGTAGATCCTGATTTGCATAACTTATTTGTGTCACTTGAATTACTTTCATACCAAAGATTACAACAATCTGTCAACCGGTTCTTTAGTTGTCGCCATTCCAAAACACAAGCTGCTGGGGGGTGCAAACGTCACTTCTTCCCTAGCCCAAGAGCCAAAATTCATGACCCTTTTGTGTCCAGATCTGGACCAGACGTTCAGCTGCAGTACCAACAGGGGGCCCAAAATCTAATTTCAAAGTCTCATGAAGACCTACCAACATTGCAGTCTAATAATACAATGTAAAAAAGGCTGAATTACACAGTTTTATAGAACACACAATGGCACAAAATATCTTTGATATTTACAAACATGATCAAACTGAATAACAAGAATATATACAATTGGTAGTCGGGTGATTACACAGTAGACAAAGCACTGTTCAAGAGTTTTGACAGGTATGGAATGGCACTGTTCCTGTACCTCTCGGATCTTATAGAAGGGAGACTAAGCTGAAACCCCCCTTTAACAACAATATAACATGATGAGTAACAAAGAACTCTACACCGGTCTACCCCTGATTACCCAGACCATTCAGAACAGACGACTGGCCCTTGCCGGTCATGTGGTACGCGACGAAGAGATGGCCGCTAAAGTCCTTCTCTGGCAACCGGATGTAAAAAGAAGGAGGGAACGTCCGTGCCTAACGCTAAAAAAACTGATCGAGGAAAAGGTGGCCTATGGGATGAGGAACTTCTGTCCGCCATGCGCAACAGAGTCACGTGGAGAGACATTATGAATGGCACCTCAAAAGAGGATGACCTGAACTGAACTGAACATGATGAAAATTTTTAACTGTTCTCCAAGTCATAAATTTCACTTACCAGAATTTTCGACTGAATCACTCAGTTTTCCTCAGCTATCTGACCCAAATGCTGTAGACACATGATTTTTCCCACGTGTGACATCAGCAAAGGGTCAAATAACATCTTTTAACAACACTACAAAAAGGTAACTGCCAGGTATAGGATCATTTAGCCATGGTGTAGCCATTGGAAGCCGCTGTTATATATTCTGTAGATTACTAGTACATCATAGTAATCGTGTGTGAAGCAATATTATCAAGGAGCATACTAGTAATTTATCCTTTGGTTTTATGTGTGTATTAAAAATCAGTGTGTGGTCATGTCAGGGGACTAGATTAGGTAGGTGGTTTTAGCTGTGTCGGCAAGGAAGTCTTACCTTACCTGGGCCCTTGACCCCGTGCGGAGCAAGGAAGTCTACGACGTATAAATAGTGGACCACTAGACATGCTAGACTAGAAAGGCGAAGAAAATGCCTCAAACACAGAGCCGAACCCTACATCTGCTTGGATGACGTCACCCCCTTGAGCCTAATGGAATGCTCCTCCTGCGTTGAATTGTGGGTAATAATCACTTCCGTGGTGTGCTAGCGTGGAGAAAATTCTGCAAAAATGAGGGTAGAAAAATGTTTCTTCTGTTCCAGTCCGATTTATCCTGGACACGGGATGCAGTTTGTTAGAAACGACTGTAAGGTAAGGGATGATCACATTTTGTATTGAAAAGGAAAGAGTATTTATAGCGTTACTGTTTTGGTGGCATGTGGCGCCCCCCTCCCACGTCTGTGCTGTAACATGTGCAAACTTGCATGATGACGTTTGTCATATACATAATATATAATAAATATGAAGAAAGACAAAACAAAAATTTATCTACTCTACGTCTTATAGAAAATAGTAACCCAATTGAATCAACTGTTCCACAGATATTTGTCGTCGTCTTTTATATAAGATTATTAAGAATAAGAGGTTCAAAATTTTATCAAACCAAGGAGGTTAAATTATACAAATGTTATTTTTAACCTCCTTGATCAAACCAACGAGCCACGTCAAGGAGATTTAAATGATTTTAAGACCTCTTTGATTGAATGGGCGTAATCCTTCGATGCTGACGGAATTTCTTTAAAGTTATTAAGAAATTATAAACTAAAACAAATGATCTGTACATTAATTTTACGACACATAAAACTAAAAGTCATATAGTCTAGGAATCCTTATGTAACAGTGGGGGGTTTATAGGCTACCAACTGACCCGGCCGAGGGGTCTAGACCTTTTCGGCCGAGCGGTTAGAGCGTCTGGTTATGAATGATGGTGCCCGGGAGGTCGTGGGTTCGAACCCCAGCCCGGGACCAGAAGGGTTTTTACTGGCTCCTCCTGTTTCTTACATATGATTACGATCAGGATTTGGTTCTGTAGTTGAAACAACTTTTCCTTTCTGTCACACTCTAGATCTTCAGGTTTTGCCGCTCAAAATGCCACAGAGCCTTCAAGAAGAAGAGGAATCCTCGGAAGGTCCGCTGGACCAAGGCCTTCAGGAAGGCAGCAGGAAAAGACTTGGCTGTGGTGAGTGTTGGTCAGGCTTTTAGCTAGGGGGTGTCCAGGGTGTCTTTTGGACGCCCTGTACTGAAAATAATAAGAAATTGGACGCCCTACTTTTTTGTAGGACACCCTAAAGACGCCCTATTTTTCCACTCCCAACCCCTGCCATGCACACATGCCTCCCTTCAGCCTTACTATAAATACAAAAATGATGGTTTACTGAAGGAAAAAACTCAAATTTACACCTGAAAATGCAGAAAGTAGTGTTTGAGAGCATTATGAATTTCAAAAAAGTCCCCCTAAAATCTTGCACTCAAAAATGGACGGCCACCCAAAAAATCCTAGCTAAAAGCCTGGTGTTGGTGTCTTGTAAGGCTTGTTAAATAGTTGTTATTTTTAGAGAACCTAGTCCCATTGCTGTAGATTGTTTAGAATATGTACTAGTAGCCACTTCATGTATGTGTATGAAATATGTTGTCACATACACGCAATCGCTATTTCTGTTTATATCGTGTACATTGTACATGCAAATTATTTGAAGACATATGCGGATTACCAATATTGAGACACAGTTTAAAAAAAACATTAGCTGGGCCACTGTAAATCTTTTAAAGGTCGCTTTGGCCACACCAATTTAATTTGTTGGTTCTCGGATTCGCCTCTTCATTTTTTTCTGATTTGCAAAAAAAAAAAAGATTCTGGTTCTGAATCAACTCAAAAATGCTCATATTTTGCCCCCAACAGTTGAGGAAATTCCTTTTCTTCCTAGTTGTTACAGTTTTTTTCATCTATCAATGCAGTGGTTTGATTAAAAGTTCAAAATTTATACTTTAAATTTTAACCCAGCCTTTTTTGTTGACTTCATGGCTCATATTGTAGCATTTGGGGCTATAATAGGATGCCTAGACCTGTTTTTATTTTCATTAAATTGGTGTGGCCTTTGTATGTAAAAAAAAAAGATAACTTGCGCACCGGGCAACATGGCATCTGCAATACGTCATGTAGAAAATATGGTTTGCGCAGTGAGTATTTCAAACCTTGCTGTGTATCATGCTGTTGAAATGTCTGTGTTTAGGACGCTTCTCTAGAGTTTGAGAAGAGGAGGAATGTTCCAGTCAAGTACAACAGGGAGCAATGGAAGGACACAAGTAAGGATCTCACATTTCCTACTATGATAGATGCACAGTACATTTATTCAGCTCCATTTGCACTTAATATCACAGGAGTAAAAAGGAAGTTTTTGTGTAGTAAGTTTGCAGTTGAAATAATTCTATAGAGCAGCACAATGGAAATGCATGGTACATGTATCATGATTTTGTAGTGGATATCAGTATCATCACCATTAAAAAACCGGTAGTACCAGTATTTATGTTTGAATTTATGTAGTAATGTTAAGGATTTGTTTTGACTTTTTTGTTTCATCATTTCCAGTTAAGGCAATGAAGAGAGTAGAAGACATCAAGAGTAAGAGGCAGGCCCAGTTCATTCTCAACAGGTATGTACTTATGTGTGTTTATGTATGTATACTTGCAGTACCATGGCCACGGGTATGGAGGCATTGTTGTGTGTTTATGTATGTATACTTTCACAGTGGTCGAAATACTTTTTTTCAGTGATCTGCAATATTGCAGAAGAGTCAAAATTTTGTTCTGCAATTTGGAAATACTTTCTGCAAATACACAAGCCTCCATACTACAATCTTGCAAGTTTATAAGCATGAACTATTGATTGATATGCAAATTAGTGAAGACAAATTTTTGGAAGTCCAAAAGGAAACAAAAGATAGACAAGTCAAGACAAGGTTGATGTAAATTAGTGAAGAAGCTCCTGTTGTTTCAGAACGTCTGTCCTTGGGGCCAAGAGCACCAAATCCCAAGTGCCAATTTTTCCTGCTGCAAAATTGCAGATTGTATAAATTTTTCTTCTGCAATCTTTGAAATCTATCTGCAGATTGCAGACTGCAGACAGGTATTTCGAACACTGTTGCAGTACCATGGCCACGGGTATGGAGGCATTGTTAGGCTATCAGTGTCCCGGCTCTGCTTTAGTGTGTGGTGTGCAGATGGCTATGTGAAAATACCCCTTGAGACAACCTGTGACAATTTTATCTGGTAGCTGCAATCATCAAATACATGTATCAATGAAAAAAATGTTGGTAAAATGAAATCAAACATTTATACATACATCACACTTTTTTGGTGTTGAAAGTTACATCAAGTCAATACTACATTATCAGAATTTTTGGATAGACTTTGATGAAAGTTTTAAACACAAAACTAATCACATGCCCGTAGCCAGGGGGGGTTCGAACCCCCACAAGGCTCAAAGGTCCACTTTTTGGTCCACTTTTTATCTAAAGGTCCAAGATATTTCTTTAAAAGATGGACTGATTCGTGTTACCTGCGAGGCTGGAATCGTAGGAAAATGGCTCATTTTGTCATTGAAAAAAGTTATCTCTGATTTTTTTCTTTGAAATCCTCTAAAAACTGCAGGAAATGCCATTTCAGAAGGTTCATTTTCCAAAATTTTCCGGGGGAGCATGCCCCCGACCCCCTAGGAACCTCGCGCCTAAGGCGCGCACTGGTCCCTCAAGCAGTTGGAAGACCCCCCCCCCATTCAAAATCCTGGCTACGGGCATGAATCATGAAGCCTTAAGCTTGTTAGATAGGAGAAGGGCTAATCACATTAATGTACTGTAAATAAAGTGCTGTAATTCACTTGGGGACAGGTGCAGAGAAAGGAAAGTCGGCAAATTATTTGTTAACGGTAATGATAAGTTCCGAATAAGGTACAAAAGTGACCGCAAAGAAATGCAAACACAAAAGGACCGTGAAAAAAATTATGATTTACAGTATGTCATTATCATACATCAAGGCAACAATATATTTTCAGATATTTTGGCTAGACTTTGACAAAATATTAAGGTTTTAAACAAAACGAAAGGGGAAGGGCTAATCACAATAATGTAATTAACTCTCTCATTTGTACGTGCTTCCAGACTGAAAAAGGGGAAAGAGCTGCAGAAGGAGGCCGACATCCGGGAGGTTAAACAGAACATCAGCCTCATCAAGTCTCCTGCAGGTAAGTCTTGTTCTTACAGTAACACTACAGTAACACTACAGTAGCACTACAGAAGCACTACAGTAGCACTACAGTAGCACTACAGTAATACTACAGTAGCACTACAGTAACACTACAGTAGCACTACAGTAATACTACAGTAGCACTACAGTAATACTACAGTAGCACTACAGTAACACTACAGTAGCACTACAGTAGCACTACAGTAACACTACAGTAGCACTACAGTAACACTACAGTAGCACTACAGTAACACTACAGTAGCACTACAGTAGCACTACAGTAGCACTACAGTAACACTACAGTAGCACTACAGTAACACTACAGTAGCACTACAGTAGCACTACAGTAGCACTACAGTAACACTACAGTAGCACTACACTACAGTAGCAATACAGTAACACAACAGTAACACTACAGTAACACTACAGTAACACTACAGTAACACTACAGTAACACGTGGGCAAAATGTACTGCACCTCCGCTAAACCCATAATGTATTGTGCATAACAATAATTCAAGGTAGGGTCTCATATAAGGTCGTATTTTCTATATAAGGTTAATATCCCATCTATAGATTTCAAATGCTGTGTCGGAAAAAGACATCGTCTGCAGCAGGCTAAAATTCTAATGACCAAATATCCAACAAAAACTGTGAAAAATCCCAAAAAGTATGTTCTGCTGGCATGCTCACTACAGTGTCATGTCACGGAAAAAGTAGGTTAAAGACATGTGAATATCAAATATACCAACCATATGTAGTAGCTTGAAAATATTTTAATCACGATGACTGAGAAACGTTTGTATGGCCTTTCAAAAGTGCATTTTTTTGAGACGCATCAGCAAGTTTTTTTTTCATCTGTACATTTTATTTTTGCATTTCTGTGCTTATGAAAATACAGAAATGCAAGTATAAAACGTAGCAAAATAGTATATATATGTATAAAACGTCTGGCGGGACTGGCTTGTGCCGACTTTTCCGAGGCGGGGCATTGAAATTTCGAATGTAACAGGAGAACCATGTGCATTTATTGTTAACGTGTTGTTAGCCAGGTAATACTAGTTAATCAACTACAATCAGATAAGGTCGTATTCTGGTGTTGTGAGCACTTAAAACTCTTTGCAAAACCTTGAAGTTAGAACTACTGATTGTATCGCAGACATTCAGTCTGAAGCTGTGAGGAGTTCTTGGGAGTAAGGATTATCCTTAATGTACCTTGCAAGGGTGATGGCCTCTGATTTACCTTTGTGGGATTAGCTTAAAGTACCAAGGTTGTTGTGAGACATAAGCCCTCCTTTGTCTTAATGGTTAGGGATAATCTGCACAGAGTACATGTACAGAGATGCAGCAATGGGTTGTTAACGTTAATTAGAGATGTTACAGTCCCTCTTGCTGATTGACTGTAATTTGGTCTAAGTGTGGTGGGACGTATTTTCGTGGTAGGCAAAAAGGGAGGGGTTTGCAATGTTTAAGGATTACACAAGTGGGACACAGAGTGTGATTACTGACAGACAAACTGTATTTGTGTGATGATCTCACAGCGGACAGGTCACTGTGAAAACTGCTAACATTAAAACCACTGTGACTACTTGAAGATAGAGTACCTTTGTGGGGTCATGTGGCGTAACAGCAGAGCGTTGGGCTCAGACCTAAGAGGTCCAGGGTTCAAATCCTGTCCTGTCACTGATCTTGTGCTCTTGGAAAAGGCTTTCCTCACTTTTCTCAGGTGTAAATGAGTACCTAGCTTTGGCTAGGGCCGTTCCTCGGAGAGGACGATAGCACCCCACGCACGTTAAAGAACCCACCATGCTTATCGAAAAGAGTTGGGGTCCTTCCCGGTGTGAGTGGTTCAAACCTTACAGTCTTACGGTCAAACCTGGGGGCGTATTGAGGTCACCTGAGTTAGCGCCGAATGGCAGCCGCTCCAGACCCTTGCGATTCATCCCCACTGATTGAAAGCTCCTCACAATTCAGCCCTTGGCTGTAAAGACAGAGTAGCCAGCCCACCCAATAATGATACCTCCATCAGTTACGAGACAAGCCCCCACAGACAGTGCACAAATTGTAGACATCAGCTGTAATCCCCCAGTCATCTACTTGGTTCTTTGTGGCTGTGGTCATTATTAGTTAAGGCAGCGGCAGAGCCATCATTAGTTAGGATGGCCCTTGTTAGATCCCTACGGTACGACTTACGGATACC